CCCTTGGGTCCTCAAGTCCTATTATAGGGGGTGCCCTTGGGTCCTCAAGGACACATGCTAAAGCTGTATTTTCGCCGTGTTGCACTGAGTAGATGCCCATACATATACCCATCAATCGATAGAGCATCCTCGATAACCCTATAATTGGCCCGAACATGGCTATGTGTTGTCCTTACAATAAGAGAAATAGAAGCTTCTGAAATTTGATTGGTCTATTTTTGGACCAATCAAATGGCAGTATCCTATTTCTCAGCGATGGGATGAGTGGAGACCCCTACATATATCCATCAATCGACAGAGTACCTTTGATAACCCTATGTTTGGCCCAAACATGCCCATCGTTTTCCCTCACAATAAGGAAAAAAATTTGAAACACCTCGGGTATCCCAATAATAGGACTCGAGGACCCAAGAGTATCCCCAATAATAGGATTTGAGGCCCCAAGGGTACCCCCCAATAATAGCACTTGAGGACCCAAGGGTATCCCCAATAGTAGGGCCGTTACCCCGTTCCTTGGTAACTGGTAACGGCCTGTTACCGTTCCCGGATAACTGGTAACTTTTTCCTTAGCTCCCGTTACCGTTACCGTTCCCGGGTAGCGGCGTGGGAACGGTAATTTCCCACCCCTACCTATATGTCAAACATAATTATACAGGAAGTGGTTCCAATATTGTCAACGGTCTCATTGACCCACAATTAGAGCTCTATCTTCGGATTACAGATATGTTACTTCGAGGTTTTCTGCTGCAGAGAACTCGAACATTTCTATACAACATCGACATATCGCGTTATGCGGCGATGAGGGAATGTACCTTTAGGTCCTCAAGCCCTATATTATGAGGATATCCTTGAGTCCTCAAGTAATATATTATGGGGTACCCTAGGTCCTTAAGTAATATATTATGTGGGTACCCTTGGGTCCTCGAGTCCTATATTTTGGGAATACCCTTAGATCCTCAAGCCTTATATTATAGAGGTATTCTTAGGTCCTCAAGTCCTGCATTTTGCAGATACCATTAGGTCCTGAAGTCCTGTATTATGGAAGTATCTTAGGTCCTTAAGTCCTATATTATGGGGGTACCCTTAGGCTCTGAATTGCTATATTTTGGGGATACCCTTAGACCCTCAGGCCCTATATTATAGAGATACTCTTAGGTCCTTAAGTCCTGTATTTTGAAGATATCTTTAGGTCCTCAAATCCTATACTATTTTTCAATGATCAAGATAATTAAAATGAAATCAACATGAAAAATAACAGCTTGAATATACATAGGCTTTGTTTGTAAATTTTTAAATTAATAAACGTAATTATAATAATATTAATTGATAAAACCAAAAAAAAATGAAAATTTTCTAAAAAAAAAGATCACAAACCAAATGTACGGCAAGAAGAAGAATGTATACGTAGAACTGGTGGAAGAGTAACAAAATATAAAGATGATGTACCACATGTTGAAAATCAACTAGCTGTTAGTCGTGCATTACTTGAATATTCAATAGATAAACATATTATACCCGCATTACCTGATATAATTCAATATTCAAAACAATCATCAACTGCATATATTATATTTGCTTGTGATGGTATTTGGGATGTTATAAATAATCAACAAGTTGGGACATTTGTTTCAAATAAAATATCATCGAATATATTACAAGATATTATTTCACAATTGTTAGATGAATATTTAAAATTAGAAACTATGGATAATATGAGTGTTTATATTGTTAAACTTTAAATATTCCAAAACATTTATTTTATTTAACTATTTCTCTATGTATATATATATATATATATTAATGGACATAGATAGTCATTAATTCTATGTAATTATTCATCAAAAGCTTTTTTTTGTCAAAGATATTCTAAAGAAAAATCTCATTTATTTATATTATTCATATGTTTATTGTTACTTGATTTTGTAAAAAACTAGATACGAAAAAAGAAATATCATATTGTTTAATGTTGTTTATTATTAATACAATAATTTCAATAAATTCTTGTATATATTATAAACTGTAAAATTAAAAGAGAAAAAGTTCTTCATGTAGATATTTCAATATTCATAATTAATTTTAAATATCATTTTGGAAGAAACTTTTCCAATGTTTTATCACCTTGATTATCTTTTTTTTAGTTTTATTTTCACGTTTTAAATGAATACGTTGAATTAAAAATGAGAATAAAAATAAAATCAACCATAATAAAACATTAATTATTAAAGCAGTAAAATAAATGTCTTTGTCCATAATATTGAAAAACATAACCTGATATTAAACCAAATACAAGTATCGTTAATATAAAAGAGAGCTTAATACATGATGAGTCCAACAGTATAATAAGAAACTATTAAGAACATAGGATGCTAACATGGACATTTACTCTGTTTTTCATTCTTATCGTGTCCTAAATATTTTAGATCATACACAACAATGCTAGAACGAAAAATAAATACGCTACTGGAAATGATTCATAAAGACGGTCGTTAAATGTCGTTAAAAAATGTATAATTAAAGATCGAGTTTTTGCTGATTTGCTAGCCATTACAGTTGTACCAATAATTGTGAACAAAAATATAATTATTCATGAAACTGCTTCCCTTATTTAACAAAAACCTATGTTAAATTTATGCCAAAAATATTTTTTAACATACAGGCCAATACTTCATTCAACATTTTTCTTATATTCTAATTAATTTTTGGTAAAAAAAAAATATATATGTTTTACCTAAAGCAAAAGGTAATCGAATATTTCGAACTAATAAATAAGATTTTTGCCCACATGTTATTCTAATAGCTTGTCTTTGTTTTAAATTTTCAATTGTTGATTTAATTAAAATAATTGAATGTAGTTGAATAATTATTTCAGAATCAATTCAATGACCACATAAATATTTATTGTCAATTATAAATTGATTCGAAAGAATATTTTTTGTTGGCCCTAATATATTTTCAGGATTTTTTTTCTATTTTAATTGGATCAATATGTATCATTGATAAATGATATTCATCATGACAAGATTGCTCAGACCATATATTATATTTAAAACCAATTTATATATTTAAATAATGAATAATCATTATACATATTTCACATTTTATACATAATGATATATATCTTCGAGATGAATATCCATTCTTTCATATTGACGATTAAATAAACGTTCTATTAATGATCTTGTTCGATATTCATTTGATAAATGTATTATTCTATCTATTGCATGACTATCATGATTTTATTCAAATATACATATTTCATTTTAAACTAAAACTAATCATTTCCAGAATGATATATCTTCATAATATTTATTTTAATAATTAATAAAAACTCAAACAACAACAAAGGCTTACTTTATTAAAAATAGAAATAATTCTAATAAATGAATTAATCTACAAAAACAAGTAAGCCAAAACAAAAGAATAAAAATTTTGAGAAAAAAGAATAAACGAAATGAATTTATGAATATATATTCTTTTCGGATAATGAGATCAATACATGTGTGCAAAATCTTGTAAAGACATTTTTTTGTGTACTCAAAAAGTGAGTACACTATAGAATCGGTCAGTGTGGCCGTCCGGCCGGCCCTTTACACGATAACTCTTCACAACTACATCCGTTTGAGGTGAAATTTTGTGCACAGAAGTATCTCATCAATATCTCGGCTGAGTTCGAAGATGAGAATGATTCGTCAAGAAATGGCTGAGATATCAAAAAAATTGTCATTATTGATCAGACCGTCCCTGCGGAGGGGTACAGGGATTTTTCAAAAAAAAAAAAATTTCTCAGAATTATTTAAAATATATATGAATCGACTCAGTTTTCAACGCTGATCACGAATATGATATTAGTTTCGCACCAAATTGTATTGTTTTAATTAAAAGTCGTCTAAAAAATGTATTAAAATGCTCAAAAACTGCGTTCCGAGACAAATGTGCCTAGATATGTCTCAGGTGACTAGTGATTTGGAGGTTTTCTAAGTCCGTGATTTTGTAGCTGCTAAAGTCAAAGGTTAAATAGTTCCTTCTAGTAAATTTTCTTACCTACTTTTGTATCTTATTTTCTTAGTTCATTCAATAACAGAATCAACCTCCGATAACAATCCGAAATTGATCATTAGCATATTTTATTTTATTTTAGATCCTCAATTCTTATTGTATTTAAATACAAACTTCACCTATCAAAAAGGTTTTGATTAAATAAAATCATCCTGCTTTATTGAAATAAAAAAGAAAAGTAATATGTTTTGAAATATTTCTTTGTTTATCCGTCAATATTTTAGATTCAAAAAGAATAAATCTAATCAATTAATGGACAAAGAAAATACAAATTCAATAGTTTGTGTACCATTAAATCTTAGTGCTAATGAACCAGTAAATCTTGGTGCTAATGAACCAGTAATTCTTGATGATAATGAATCATTAATTGATAATAATGAACCACTTGTTCTTGCTAAAAATAAACCTGCTATTCGTGTTCATAATAGAACATTTGTTCGTAGTAATAATAAATCATTTACTCGTGATCATAGTAAAGGATTTGTTTCTGGTAATAATGAACCAGTTCTTTTTGGTAATAGAATTTCAAAATTTGAACATTAAAAAAAGAATATTTCTATCTTTAGAAAAAAGTATTCGAGGTACAGTCGTTACGGTCAATCGTCTTAAACACTATGCGTTCATAAAAAGGTTTGTAATAGCTAGTTTGTTTTTAAACTTAATTCTATATATGATGTAGAAAAGACAAAGTCGAATCACGTGATGTTTTTGCTCGTGAAGCGTCAATCATCAATGAATTACATCAAAAGAAGTTTTTTATATCGGATAGTTGCAAATTTGATACAATCAAAAGTGAGCTTTTTAATTTAACTATCACTTAAATGATATTTTTCGCTGTTCTGTAGCTGCACGTGGTATTGAAGCGGTTAATATAAAAATCGAAGAAAGACACATAAATAGTATCGATAAACTCCCCAAAATACCAAAAAAAAAGAAAAAAATGAACAAACACATATTTCTGCTGATCTTTTTCGATCTACTATGTATGGCTTACTGTATTTCTTTTAATTTAAATTAAACTATATCTCATTTTAGTGCAGATCTATTTCGTGAAGCATTAAATAAAAAGAAATGAATATCATTGATAATCATCATTTGATTTATAACAACATTAACAATATTGTTATGACATCTATTAGATCTTCGTTTGTTGTCGTGTTCTTTCGTTTTCGCTTTCTTCTTTCGTTATGTTTCTTTTGTTATGTTCGTTCTTTTTTTTCCTTCTCTACTTCATTCTTCTGGTGTCCTCTTGCGTGCTCTTTAGGGGTGAGAAAGTTATTGTTATTTTTTTTTGTTATTATAACAATAACATGAACTTTTTGATTCAAAAAAAGACATCTATTAGATCTATATCGTTAAACAAAAAAAAAGAATTGTAATACGATACATTGTACTTAAGAAGAAATTGTTTAAATACAATCTACCTTGTATTAAATAAATAAAAGCTGTTAGCGCAATCCCTTGCGGGATTAAAAATGTGAAACACGATGTACCTGCTGTTGCCAATCTTATAAATTATGCTTCATCAATTTCTTGGTTATCAAGAAATTCTTATGTCTAGTATAAAAAAATTAGCAGAAAAAGAAACTCATCTATATATAATGTTCAGTGTGTGTGTTTCTCAGTGCCGGGTCAAAGGTTAAGAGTCAAAGGTTAAGGGTTAATAGTCAAATAAGGCTATAAGGGGAAGGCGCCTAGGGCTATTATATGGAGGACCCATAGGTCCTCAAGGGCTGTTATGCAGAGGTACCCGTAGGTCTTCAAGAGCTATTATATAGAAGTATCCCTACGTCCTCACAGGCTACCCTATGGAGATATCCATAGGTCCTCATGAGCTATTATATGAAGGTCCTCATAGGCTATCCTGTGGAGGTATCCATAGGTCCTCATAGGCCATCCTATGGAGGACCCATAAGTCCTCATGAGCTATTGAATGGAGGTATCCATAGGTCTTCATAGGCTATCCTATGGAGGACCCATAGGTCCTCATGAGCTATTATATAGAGGTATCCATAGGTCTTCATGGGCTATCCTATGGAGGTACCCATAAGTTCTCATGGGCTATCCTATGTAGGTATCCATAGGTCTTCATGGGCTATTATATGGAGATACCCATAAGTTCTCAAGGGCTATTATATAGAGGCACCCATAGGTCTTCAAGAGCTATTATATAGAAGTACCCATAGATCCTCATGGGCTATTATATGGAGGTACCCATAGATCCTCATGAGCTATTATATGGAGGTACCATAGGTCCTCATAGGCTATCCTATGGAGGTACTCATAGGTCCTCAAGGGCTATTATATGAAGGTACCCATAGGTCCTCAAGGGCTATTATATAGAAGTACCCATAGTTCCTCAGGGGCTCTCCTATGGAGGTACCCATAGGCCCTTAAGGACTATTATATGGGGGTACCATAGGTTCTCAAGGGCCGTCCTACAGGGTACCCATAGGTCCTAAAAGGGCGTAAGAAAATAAAGCGATAAGGCTACAAGAGGTACAAGGGATATAAGGCTATGAGGATATAAGGCTACATGGACTATAGAATATGTGCGACATAAGAGTATGAGGCCGTAAGGCTTTGATCTATATACATAATATCGCGTATCTGTATGTCTGTTATTTGATGAAAAGTGAAATGTCTGACGTCACATGTTAAAGGAGAAACCAGCCGTGCAGTATGCACGGGTTCTCGCTAGTAAAGGTATATTTTCGAAAAAAAGAAAAGAAAAATAAATTATCAAATTTATTTAATTTAGATTATGTTCGACATGTAATGACAAATGATCATTTTCGTTTTGTCGGTGCATGGCAAAATCGTCGATGGCGGACATATTTAGTTGCTTTTTGTGTTATGATTGTATTTATAAGTGAATTTATTTATAGAAAATTAGTATTAATGATTTATTTTATATTAGACAATTAGTATTTCAATGTTTTTTCGTTATTCACATTTTCAAATATTTCTTTTTATTGGTTTGTTTAAAAAAAAAAGATTTTTTTTTTGTATATTTATTCATCATTTTAGTTGATCTGTTACGTATGATTGAACATAATACACCAATTGCATTTCCTGCTACACCATTATTAACAGTTATATTGGCATTAATTGGTAATCAAATTTATTTAACATAATAATAATTATTAGAATATTTATTTATATAATAGGAACGGAAGCAATTATGTCGGAATTTTTCAGTGATGCGTCAACTGGTAATTTAATTATAAATATATAATTAGAATTATGTTTTATTTTCTTTAGCTTTTTATATAATTCTTATTGTATGAGTATCAGATAAATATGATAGTATATGTTGTTATACACCAATAAGTAAACGTCATTGGGTTCAGTAAGTTATTTTTGTATTTTTTTTATTTCTTTAAAATATTTTTTTTTCTATTTTTGAAAAAAAAAGTTTTTTTTATATATCATTTTGCATTTTATGCATATCATGATCGTTACAATGGACAATATTCTGGTTTAGCATTAACAACAAGTTGTTGTTTTATAATTCATTCAATGTTTTATTTTTTTCACCATTCTGAATTACCTGTTATTGAAGCTCAACTTGGTCATACATTTGTTGATCAAAATATAATAACACAAGTATCTTTACCAACAACAACAACAACAAATAGAGATGGAAGTGATACTAAACCATTAAACAACATCTTAAAATATTATTTAATTAAATTATGCATATCATTTAATATTTTCATTTTTTTTATTCACTATACTTTATAATGAGTGACCTTTTTATATTTATCTTATGTCTAGTAATGTGATTATATGTTTTCTTCTTTTTTCTTTTTCATTTTTAAACAATATACAAGAACAAGTGTATTGATAAATATAATCTCATACACGTTCAAATTTTATATTTATGTTAAAAAGAAAAAATTCGAACATATCCCAAAAGCATTTCATGACTTTTAAAAAGATAAATAGATAATCGAAATAAAATGAAAATCTTATAATTGAATCATTGATGAATATGTATATATGATTATTATTTTCTTCTTTTATTATCTTTTTCTAATAAAATTTTAAAATTTAATTAAGTTTTACGTTGAAAACTGGAAAATAAATCTCAAAAGACATTAAATTCAAAATCTTTTTTTTTTGTCATACCTAACCCAAAAGATTAATAGTTATATTTAGTATGCCTGGAAATATATAAAACTAACACCATGTTGACATAAGAAAAAGTCTATTGTATCAATTGAAAACTATCTGATTAAAAAAATAATATTTTCTTATGAAAGCAATCATTTTTTATCTTAAAATAATTTGTTTCACTTTTTAGATTTTAATTATCATAATTTTTTTCAAACGATTAAAATAAATATAAATTGAATTATTTTCAAACAAATAAAAGAAAAATAAATTGTATTATTTTCAAACAATTAAAATAAATACAAATTGTATTATTTTCAAATAATTAAAATAAATATAAATTGAATTGTTTTCAAACAAATAAAAGAAAAATAAATTGTATTATTTTCAAACAATTAAAATAAATACAAATTGTATTATTTTCAAATAATTAAAATAAATATAAATTGAATTATTTTCAAACAAATAAAAGAAATATAAATTGTATTATTCTCAAACAATTAATAGAAATATAAATTGAACTTTTTGTTTAAGGAAGGTTGTCAAGTTTTTGACTTTCATAAAGTTTCTTACTTAGTAGCGAGTGTATCTTCACTAAGTTTTAACGAAGATTTATCTCGAAAGAAACTTTTCCATTATTTATTTCACCAGGCTCAGAGATATACACGTTTCTCACTAAGTACACGCCGTACTTCGTGTATATACGTGCTTAATCTGAATGAGAAGCTGCGATTATTTAAGATTTTAACGTCTAATTTAATCGTATCTTATTTCATTATCTACGGTCCGAAAAAAATCAGTCGCATCAAAAGTAAAATCACGAAAGAAGCCTACAAACGGCAACTAGTTATTTATCTTTATCAATTCCAACACAGATTAGTGGATTTATTATTTAGATTTATCAATTCAAACAATAATTTGTGGATTTAACTTTATCATTTAAGAGAACAAATAGTGAATTTATTATTCAACTTGTAATTTTTTGAACTGGTTGGAAAAAAATGCCGAAGATAAAAAGAAGATCTATATCTCAAAGAAATGCCGAGAGGGCAAAGAGAATGAGAGAAAGAAGAACTGATGATGAGTTTCGGTTGTCAGACAATAGAAGACGAGCAAATTCTCTCAAAATTCAACGACAAACTGATGAATTTAAAACTGAAGATAATAAGAGAAGAGCAGAAGCTCTTACAATTGCACGACAAAATGATGAATTTAAAGCTGAAGAAAATAAAAGAAGAGCAGAAGCTCTTAAAATTGCACGACAAAATGATGAATTTAAAACCGAAGAAAATAAAAGAAGAGCAG